GTTGATGCTCAGTAACTGGGGACTCTTTCCCCCTCCCCCACTGCAGCTCTGGCCTGGAGCCCAGGGAGAGACCCGGACCCCTCTCAGCCCCCCGGCAGACTCAGCAGCAGCAAGATGCCCACCCTCTCCAGGCAGCCAGGCATCCTCCAGTGCCCAGGTGTCCCTGGCTGGGGCGGAGACTCTGAGCCGCTCCTGCCCTGCAGCCGTCTGCTCACCCCGGGCAAAGCCGGGCACCTCCCTGCACCAGGTGGGCGGGCTCTGACGGACGGGTGTCCTGGGCCCCAGGGCAGAGCTGTATTTGGATGGCCACAGTGCAGAGCTGCAGGGGTGCAAGCCACAGTCCACATGGTGGCCCTGGACATGCGGGCATTGTCCCTGCTCTCTGGCCCCAGCTCCTTGCACCCACCTCCCAAAGGCTCAGCTTTCTGCAAACTCCAAGCTGAGTTTCCACCCAGCTGCCCCCTAGCAACGGCCTCTGGGGTCCAAGGAGGCGAAAGTAGGCTGTCCCTGCCCCCTTCTCAAGGAGAACAGCCTGGCTCCTGACCCTCCCAACCTGCCTGCTCTGCACGTCCCACACTGGAACTCCTTTGGGGACCAGGAACACCAGGCAGGGGTGCACTGTGCAACCCCACTCCCTGAATCTACAGGGGCAGGTGGATCCGAGGAGGCAGGGTGGGCGGGTGGCAGCTGCTGCAGAGGGGTCCTCCCTGCGGCCTGCGCCCTGGGAGGTCCTTAGCACTGTACTCGCTTGGGAGGGACAGAGCAGGAGGTAGCTCATGGCTCCTCTCCGAAAAGAAGTCCTGTTTTTTGTTTTTCCCAATTATGGCAAAATACACACAACATAAAACTTAACACCTTTTTTTTTTTTTTTTTTTGTGATACAGAGTCTCACTCTGTTGCCCTGGGCTAGAGTGCCATGGCATCAGCCTAGCTCACAGCAACCTCAAACTCCCGGGCTCAAGCGATCCTCCTGCCTCAGCCTCCTGAGTAGCTGGGACTACAGGCATGCACAGCCATTACCGGCTAATTTTTTTTCTATATGTTTTTAGTTGGCCAATTAATTTCTTTCTATTTTTAGTAGAGACGGAGTTTCGCTCTTGCTCAGGCTGGTTTCGAACTCCTGACCTTGAGCGATCCGCCCGCCTCGGCCTGCCAGAGTGCTGGGATGACAGGCGTGAGCCGCCGCCGCCGGCCAAAACTTACCATCTTAACGACCCTTCAGTGCACAGCCCCGTGGTGTGCAGCACGCTCGCACTGCTGTGCGGCCGTCCCCGCACCATCTCCGGGACTCCCTCGGTTCCCAGCTGAAGCTCTGTCCCCACGAAACACGCACTCCCCTCACGCCCCAGCCCCTGGCACCCCCGTTCTGCGTCTGTCTATGGGTCTGGTGGCTCCAGGGACCTCCTAGCAGTGGGGTCCGACAGCGTTTGCCCTTTGGGGACCGGCTCATGTCACCGGGCGTCACGTCCTCGAAGCCCGGCCGCGCCGTAGCGTGTGTCAGAATCTCCTTTTTGAAGGCTGAGTGATGCTCCGTTGTATGGATGGACCACATCGTGGTTATCGATTCACCTGTCGCCGGATGGTGCTCCCACACTGCAGCTACTGTGGACGACGCTGCCGTCAACATGGCTGTGCAAATTCTCTCTTGGAGTCCCTGCTTACCCACTCGGGTAGACCCAGCAACAGAGAGGCTGGATTATACGGTGACTCTATGTTTAATTTTTTGAGGAACTGCCAAACTGACATCCCACCAACAAGAAGTCCTCCTCTGGCAGCCGGGAGCAAGAGCCCCTGGAGCCTCCCCCAGAGCTCTCTGCTTCGGCCCAGGAGGGGACTGGCATGGGGTGTGGGTTACTTAGAAGTGGGTTTTGGTCCTAGACTTGTGGATTTTCACATCCTTATTCCCAGCTAGCAGGTTTTGCCCAGAGCCCCATGTCGATAGCAAAGTGCCTCCCTGTCTGCCCGGGGGAGGGGGTGGGCTCCAGAGCTACAGACACCCCAGCCCCAGCCCGGCCCCTCAGACTCCCTGAGCTCTCCATGGAGGGGGCTCTGGGAGGTGCAGGTGGGACACGCTCCTGCCTTGCGCACAGCGCAGCTGGGGAAGGACCCCCACCCCAGGCTGAGCCGCTGGGGCAGCCAAGGCGGAGGATCCCACCTCCCCCCACCCCACATTCCGCTGTGCTGCTGTGCAAAGCCCGCCAGCCCGGAGTGAGGCCTCGGGCCTCCCCACCGCCCCTCCCCAGCCCTTCCCCTCCGATGGTGTGAGCCGGGAGCCCAGCGAGTTTCCCACACTTTGGCCCCATTCACAGTGTTAAACGGCCCACAAAGGCCAGGCGTGTGCCTTGGAGGCCCCGGCGCTGCCATCTGGCCCGCACTCGGGGAGGGAGCGAGCCTTTCATCCGGCCGGGACTCAACACCATTCATTTCATATTTCCCACAACTGAAAATTGGATCAAAGCTGCTCCGTCCAGGGTGGGGGGGAGGGGGAGGGGGAGGGGAGGAGGAGGAGGAGGAGAAGGGAGGAGGCGGCCCCCCACAGCCCACCCACCACCCTCACCTCCAGCAGGCCACTGTCCTGGCCCACCGCGGGTGGGCGGGCCGCTGGGGTGGGGCGGGGGCTGGACCACATCTCTCAGTGGCACGTGTCTCATTCGGCCCAGGAGCTGGCTCGGGGAAGGGACCAGGGCAGGACACAAGCCCAGTCAAATGCCCCCTCCAAAGCCTGGGGCAGCGGGGCCTGGCCTGGGTGCCTCCCCCCATCTGGGCACAGCCCTGCGTCCCTGTGGCCTGCAGTTGGGCCATCAGGGTACGAGTGGGCTCAGGCCTGTTTGCAGCCGGTGGGGTAGGAGGTGGCCAGGGCCAGCCTGGGCTCTGCTCCCTGCAGCTCTTGGCTGGCAGGGCATAGGCGACCAGAGTCATGCTGCCCCCACCCCAGCCCACGCTGCTCAGCACGAACCCCATTTTGGCTGCAAAATGGCTCCGCTGAGCACGGCCAGCCCCCTGCAGCACCCCCACAGTGCCAGCTGCTGCCAGTGCCCAGGCTTGGAAGCCGGGGCAAGAGCTCGCAGCCGGGCACTCCTGCTGGGTGCCCCCCACCCCTTTGCATCAAACCAGGGCCGGAGCAGCCTGGGGGGGGTGTCCCATCTTCTCAGAGCAGAGCCCCCAGCTCAGGGCTCCACAGCCCCAGCCCTGAGTGTCACTGCTTCCCTCCATGACCTGAGGCTGAGTCCCCTCCAAAGGAGGTGTTGAGGGGGGCTGGGGGTGGGAAGTACCGGAGGGTGAGCAGAGGCTTCCTTCCCCCCCCTCCAAATGCCTTATGGAGTTTCTACCCAGGAGCCCCCCAGCCCACCCCATCCCAACGGCGGCCAGCTGTCCAGTGGGAGGGCCACCCTGTGCTGGCGTCCAGCGGAGCCTTCCCCTCCTGCCCTGGCACTGTCCTGCCTGCTTCCTGGACGGGCCCACCCTTGGGTAACCAAGGGCTCCTTGTGCTGAGGGACTCCTGGAGCCAGGCCCACCGAACAGCCCGCTCAAAGCTGTGGGCCACTGCCAAGACGCCGGGCCGGGCTCCTGATTAGGCCCTTGTTAAGGCCCAGCCACATTCGGACGTTGCTGCCATCTGTCCAGGGAACCCGGCTCCTGGATTTAAACTCTGGCTACAGTGTCCTGATGCCAGCCCCTGGCTCCCAGGACTGAGGCCCTTCCGCTTGGACCTGGCTGGGCCCCAACCCATGCCCAGGAGGCAGCCCGGCACCACCCCCTCCCTTAGTCTCTGATGCAGAGAATCAGAGAAACTATAATCCCTCCAGGTGGACGGGTCCCCCAAGGGACCCTCTCATAGGGGCCCAGGGTGACACTGGTTGCCCCAAAGCAGCCGCTGGCCCTCTCAGCTCAGCTGGCCAGGTGCTGGGGTGTTAGCTCATCCCGTGGGCCCCTAGGGGCCTGTCTGAGCTGGCACCGCAGCCGTGTGGGCTCCAGGCCTGCCGGCTCTGAGCCTCATGTCTGCCACCTGGCACCCACTCCCTGCCCTGGGTAAAACATGGAGGAAAGCAAGCCCTACCAGCATGCCCAGGCCGAGCAGAGGGGTGACATGTGGCTGTGGCTCCCCGTAAGTCGTGCATGAACAGTGACCACGCCACAGAGCCACGGGCCCCCCTGAGCTGCACGGGCACTGTGGCTGGATTGGGGCCAGATGGGGATGGGGAGAGGCCCCCAAGGGGCACTTGCTGGTTCGTGGAGCAGCCCGGATGCTCCTGCCGGTGAACTCCTTCCAGGAGGGTAGGGTGCAGGGGCTTGGGGTCTGCCTGGGTGCCACACTCAATGCTGAGCATTTCCTGTCCCCTGGCCCCCTGAAGCTGCCCAAAGTCCAGGCATTTTCTAGCTCTGGAGAAGTCAGGAGTCCCAGGTGACAGGGTAGGGACTTGTAAAAGGCCAGCAGGGCTGGTGCTAAGAGCCTGGGCCTGTCTTCCACCCCCCAGCTGTGGGCAGGGTGACAAGTGCTGTTTAGGAGAGCTGGTCCCCCTGGCGCCCCTCCAGGGGTGGCGGGCAGCAGGTCCCTGTCAGCGAGGGCGCCCATCCCCCTGGAAGCCCCTGCACTTGTTAGCCCCGCAGCTTCCCTGTCCCTGCCGCCCGGCCAGCAGTGGGGGTCGCAGGGGAGGCCCGCTCCTTCCTGCCCCCGCCCGCCGCAGCCTGGGAAAAGGCAGCATATTGAGGCGCGGGGCTCCCAGCGTCAGGCCCCGGGATGCTAATGAGGGCGAGCGCGTTCCCACAGCCCGGACATTGTGCCGCGCGGCCCACCTGCTCCTCGGGGAGCCCCATTGTGCCCGCGCCGATTCACAGGCAATTTAGCGTGCGCTAATGGGCCGGCGCCTTTGTGCGGCCCGCGCGGCCATTGGCCGCCGAGTGTGGGAACGGCCGCGGCGCCCGGGCCCCAGGCGCCAGGCCGCCGCCCGCGCCTATAAAGGCCGCCGTGCGGGGCCCGGGTCCGCGCAGCCCGGGACGCGCCTGCCCGCCAGCCCGCCCGCTCGCCCGCCGCGCAGGCATGGCCCCCAGCACCGTGGCCGTGGAGCTGCTCAGCCCCAAAGAGAAGAACCGAGTAAGTGCCAGCCCCGCCCGGCGCGCGGCCCCGCGGCCCCTGCGCCCTCGCGGCGCCTGACGCCCCCTCCTCCCGCAGCTGCGGAAGCCGGTGGTGGAGAAGATGCGCCGCGACCGCATCAACAGCAGCATTGAGCAGCTGAAGCTGCTGCTGGAGCAGGAGTTCGCGCGCCACCAGCCCAACTCCAAGCTGGAGAAGGCCGACATCCTGGAGATGGCCGTGAGCTACCTGAAGCACAGCAAAGGTGAGCCGACGCCCCGCGCGCCGCCCCGCCCCACCCGGCCGCGCCGGCCCGCGCCCGCTCACCGACCCGTGTCCCCGCAGCCTTCGCCGCCGCCGCCGGCCCCAAGAGCCTGCACCAGGACTACAGCGAGGGCTACTCGTGGTGCCTGCAGGAGGCCGTGCAGTTCCTGACGCTGCACGCCGCCAGCGACACGCAGACGAAGCTGCTCTGCCACTTCCAGCGGCCCCCGGGCGCGCCCGCCTCCGCCGCGGAGCCCAAAGCGCCCGGCGCGGCGCCCGCGCCCGCGCCCGCGCCCGCCAAGGCCAGCGCGCGCCAGCCGGCCTGCGGTCTCTGGCGGCCCTGGTGACCCGCGGGTCTGCGGGCGAGGACCGGCGAGGAGCCTTCTGCTCGCGGCGGGGAAGGGCCCTCTCGCCGCCGGCTCCGGCCCGGGCAGGGACGCCCTCCCCGAAGGCTCCCCCCAGGCTGGCGGGCCAGCACCAGGGTCATTCTCAGAGAATGTGCGTGCGGAGTCGTTGTCGTTTTAGGACAATCAGGGCCCATCTTCTGCCAAGCGTCTGACCCCATGGGGTTGTTCTGTTTGCATTTCAGCAAGTGACTTCTGGGAAGTCCCCGGCCCCCCGGGGTTCTATGATATTTGTAGGTGGCAGGGGCTCGTGACCCGCGACCCCAGTCTGTAGAGGACTTTCTTCAGGGCCCGCTGCTGCTGGGCGAGCACCCCGCGGGCGGGCCGTGCCGGGGGCACATTTGCCTTTTGTGAAGGCCGAACTCAGGGCGTATCCTCATAGGAAAGATTCTCAGCTTGGGCGGGCGTGGAGGGCCGCGTGGAGCCGTGGCCCAAAGGCCCCCAGGCTTGGGGCGGTGGGCGGGGCTCACAGTGGGCTATTTGGGAGAGTGGGGGTCTCTGCTATGATCCTTAAAGGATTCTTCCATGCGGGTGGGTGCACGTGGGCACGACTTTGTACTCAGAATTTGAACTCTTGGTCACGTGGGAGCCACGGGACTCCTCTGAATGCTTCTAATAAAATCTGCGTCCTCCTCCATCTGTCTCTTGTGCCTCACACCTGTCCTTGGCAGCCTGCGGGGCTGAAAGGGGGTGGGCAACCACAGGAGGAGGGTCCTCGCCAGTGACCCTCTGGACAGCGAGAAGGGCAGGTCCTGGCTGAGGGAAGAAGGGTGGGAGGAAGGGGCAGAGGAGCTGCTGAATGGAGCTCGTGCAGGGAGGGGGTGCTGGCGAGGGGGCAGGGCCCAAGGAGGCTGGCTGGGGGGCAGAGGCCTGGGAGCCAGCTCCCTGGAAGTGGGGGTGGGGCAGGGTGACAGCACAGGACCTTCAGTGCTGTCCACTGTGGGAGCCGGAGGCCACAGGCTGCAGTGGACCTCTCGCTGCATGAATGCTGGCCCGGCCCCGCCCAACAAATAGGAGAAAGTATCTGCCCCCAGCCCCTGCCCCAACCCCCATGGGCTGCAGCACCTGTGCCAGGGCACCTGCTTGGCCAGTCCATGGGCACCGTCCTTGCAGGCAGGCTGGCTACTTGCCAGGGTGGAGTCAGGCGGTGCTGGCCGTGGACACGCCAGCGATGATCCCTTGTCTCTGAAAGGGCACCTATTTTTAGGCGGCTACCGGGTGTCAGTTGAGTGAAGAACCCACAGCCACAGTGCCCAGGGGGCAAATCCACGCAGTGGGGGGTGGCGAGGGGTGGGAGGGGGTTCCCACACCCTCTGCACAATGGCCCAAGCGTGAGCCTGCTCTGCATCCCTCTGTCCCTTTCTGTCGGCTCTGCAGGGAATGTCCAAATGGGGTGCTCCTCCAGGCCAGCCTCCTGGGGTCCCTGCTGAGCCCTGGGTGTGGTGAACACGGGACAGAGAGAGTCCCTATTCATTCCACATGTGTGCTGCATGGCGTGTGGGGTCAGACGACGTTGCCCTGGTGGGGTGTGCATCCCGCCAGGCTGGCCTAGGGCGCACCTCTGCGGGGGGTGGGGGGGTGTTGGAGCACACCTGCTCTGCCCCTGCCCCCAGGCCCCCCTGGGCAGGCTCCCCCACCCAGGGCGGCACACCTGTGCCCTTGGAAGGCACACACCAGGCTGCCTCCTCCCCGAAGCCTTGCCTGACACTGACGTGTCATCCCCAGAGCTCTGAGTTTGTGCTGCCCCACGGCCTGTGTCCCCAGGAGCCCCGCCAGGCAGCTGGTGTCATCCTCAGTGTGCAGTCAGAGGTTGAGGGCCAGAGACACGCAGTGACAGGCCCAGGGTCACCGAGAAGCAGGTGCTGAAGCCACCTTAGGGCCCCTTCGGTCTGTGTTCAACACTGGGCGCAAAGGCCCAGGGCCTCTGGAGGGCACATGTCTCTCAAGGGTCTCCAACCAGCAGGGGCTTCTTGGTGACTCACCTGGAACCCCGACCTGCCCCCACCCGTATCCCTGCTCCAGTTTGAGGAGCTTTCGCAGCCTGTTCCCTGCAGTCTCTGAGATCACCCTAAAGCGCACATCTTTCCTGGCTCACGCATGGCCCACGGGGCTGGGGCTCCCCCAGGGCAGGGTTCCCACCTCCCCCAGCTTGCGTGGTTTGGCACTGGAAGTGTCACACCCTGGGGAGCCAAGAAGCGGGGCACCCCCACGAGGCCACACGACCTTCGCCTTGCGCTCGGGCCACGCTCCCGGCAGGCGACAGGCACCGAGGAGGGCGGGACCCTGGCAGGCGCCCTCCCTGGGAGCTGAGCTGGGCCGGCCTAACGGCCCAGCAGGCCTCTGCAGTCGCGCTAAGCGTCAGGCCGGCGGGAAGGACACTGCTCCAGACGCCCCGTGCCGACCCTCGGGCTCCGGGGCATGACCGCGCGCGCTCTCGCGGCCCCGGCCTGGCAGACCCTGCCCAGGACTGGCCAGAGCCCGCGCGGCCGGCGAGCCCGCGCAGGCAGGGGGGCGGACCTCATTAGCATAATATATGCACGGGGCGTTTAGCAGTCAAATATATGCGCATATATCTCCATGGCTGATAAGGCTGGCCGGGCACTTTCAAAATGGCGGAGTGTGGAGCGAGCGGCGGCGGGAGCAGCGGGGACAGCCTGGACAAGAGCATCACGCTGCCCCCCGACGAGATCTTCCGCAACCTGGAGAACGCCAAGCGCTTCGCCATCGACATCGGTAGCCGCGGCCGGGCGGCGGGCGCGGACGGGGCGCGGGAGGGGCGGGCCGCAGGCGGCGGGCGGGGGCGGCGGGAAGGACGAAGGGCGGGGGCGCGGTCCTCGCGCACAGCCTCACGGGCCTCGTAGTCCGCGGCCCCGCGCACAGCCTCACGGGCCTCGTAGTCCGCGGGGCGCAGGCGCGCGGGCTCGGCGTAGCGGCCAGACTACAACTCCCGGCAGGCACCTCGCGGGCCGGAGCGGGGCATGCTGGGTCTCGTAGTCCGCGCGCCGCTACCATGAGCCCGGGGGGGCCGGGGTCCAGTGTCACCGCAGGGAGGAGGGTCCGAATCTGTGGTCGCGTGAGCAGCTAGGCGGCCCAGCCCCGCTTCCACCAGTGGGCGGCCCGAGGTTAGGAGTCCTGTGTGTGGCCTAGATGAGGACGACACAGGCTCCGTGGGCCCAGCCCGGAGTCCGGCTCCACGCCCGGCCCAGCGGACCCCTGGCGCGAGTGCAGACAGCCGTGGACGTGGAACCTGCGAGTTCGTGCCTTCCCGTGGCTTTCAGGGTGGCCCTCTGGGCTCTGCTGCAGACCCTCCCGCCCCTCCAGCCCCCGGTGCCCAGGGCTACACTCTCAGTACTGACCATGCGCCAGGCCCCTTCCAGACCCTTCCCCGACGCCCCCCACTAACCCCTCCAGTTACTCCACACAACGATGCCCTTACTTGCCCAGGGTCACCTGGCTGGTCAGTGGCAGAGCCAGGATTGGAACTCCACCCACCCCACCTGCTCTGCCCATGTTTCCTGTGGGAGGGCTTCCTGGGGATGGCTTCGCCAGGGGAAGCCCCCCTTGACTGGGCCACTGTGGCTTCGCATACCTCTCCCTCTTAGCCAGGACTTCAGCTGCAAGCTGAGTTTGCTTGCGTGCCCTTTGCTGCCAGTGTGGGACAGTGAAGCTCACCAGGGCAGGGTGGTGTCTGCTGTCTTGAAGCCCCATCCCCCAGTAGGACCCCAGACCTGTTTTAGCTGCTCAGTAAATTCCTGAGTGAGTAGACAAACCACTGGCTGCCTCTCACCTCCCTGGAAAAGCTGGGACATCAGAGACAGACCCGGGCCCTCCCCTCTGAGCTGTTTGCTTCTGGCTGGTTCAACGGATTCAGTGCTGTAGTGTCCTCAGGGTCGCTGGAGTCTTGGGCTTGGCATGTCACCATCTTCCAAGGTGCCCCAGTCAGGAAGGAGGGTGGCCTCCAGGGAAGTGGGGAGCAATGAGAATGGAAACGTGGCCTAGCCCTAGAGTGCCCACCTTTCAGTGATTTACAAGGGGCGGTGCTTTCGGGGGGCGTGGCCTAATGGCAGGTGTGAGGATGCATATAAGGCATTTGGAGGGAGATCTGAAAGGACTCGGTGACCCACTGGATGTTGGGCTGGAGGTGGTGCACTTGCAGGCCCAGCCCAGGGACCACCCACATGGGGCCTCCTCAGCGGCTGCCCAGCTGTGCTTCCCCAGTATTCTGAGGCCTCCACCCACGCCCAGTGAAGTATGTGCCCTGAGGGGTCCTGGGCTTCTGCTGCCCTCACGCTGGGGGGAACGTGCTGGGACTAAATGTTTCTGAAATGTAGCTGCAGTTGACCTTGGCTGTGTTCATTTTTGTTAAGTGGAGCAGCTTTGGCTCTCAGATCCTGGGGTGTTTCCAAAGCCATTTACTGACTTGAGTGTTTGTTCTCATATATTCCTTTAGTATTTTGCCTCAAAACAAGCGTTTGAAAGTCATTTTAGCCTCCTTTTATAACGTAGGATTTTTGCCAGGCCCCATAAGAAATGCAGTTTCCCTAAGTCCTTTTGTAGCGCTGAGCATTTGGTTTCTCCTGTATGCGTCGCTCCTGGGCCTTCAGGTCTGTGAAGGTAATGCAGCCTCGAAAATGCCTCTTCTCTGACTTTGAAGAGCACACTGAGGGGGGGACGCCGTGGCTCAAGCCTGTCATCCTAGCACTCTGGGAGGCTGAGGCAGGAGGATCACTTGAGGCCAGGAGTTCAAGACCAGCCTCAGCAAGAGCGAGACCTCATCCCTACTAAAAATAGAAAAATGAGCTGCCCGTGGTGGTGTGCACCTGTAGTCCCAGCTACTCAGGGAGGCTGAGGCAGGAGGATCGCTTGAGCCCAGGAGTTGGAGGCTGCAGTGAGCTAGGCTGACACCACTGCACTCCAGCCTGGGTGACAGAGTGAGATGCTATCTGGGAAAAAAAAAAAGAAGAAGATGAAGAGCACACTGAAGTTTATCCTTGAAAATATCTTCTTTCAGAATCTTTTTAACTTTCCCTAAAATGTATTTCAGCTGAATAAAGGCCTCCTCTGTTTCCTGATATCTAGTTCAAACTCTGATCACACACAACATCCGAGGGGCCACGGGGCTTCTTGAGAACGTAAAAGGACTTTGGCCCGTGGGGTAGGAGACGTGGGTGGCCCCTGTGTGATTCCTTTGGCTGCTTTGGGGGCTTGGGCTGCATCCTCCAGCTCGGAGCCTCTGGGGGGCAGAGACGCGGCTTCCTGGCCCTGTTGTCCCCCGCGTTCTGTGAGAAGGTCCTTGCTGCCTGCCCCATTGGTAAGATGGGCAGCCAGGTGTGTGCTTTTCCAAATGAAAACACCTGGACTTGTCAGCTTATTGCTATTAGACCAGAGCTTGAAACTGAAATTTCTTGAACCGGATTGCCAGCATTGCCCAGAAAGTGGGGGTTTCCTCTCCTCTTCAGGACTTGGTCGTGCTGGGGGTGGGGGGAGGAACATCTCAAGCTCAGTGTGGCTGGGGACCTGAGGACAAAAAGAACTTTTAAAGGAAAGAAGCATTTGGATTTGTTAGTTCGTTTTCCCCTTTCCTCTGTTTTGTGCCCACAGAGTTTTTAAGTTCAGGTAGCACCAAACACCTTGTCCACAGAGACTCTGGGCTTCTTGGACACTGAAACATCCTGAAATGCCCCAAAGAGCTCAAGGAGGGATGGACCCCCCCCCAGGCCTCCTTCCCTCCCCAGGCCTGACTTTCGCCTGGTTCGTGTCTCCCCTTCCAGGTGGATCCTTAACCAAGCTGGCCTACTACTCAACCGTGCAGCACAAGGTCGCCAGAGTGAGGTCTTTCGACCACTCAGGAAAGGTGAGCTTGCGCTGCGGCCACCTGGACCGAGCAGCTACTTCCCTGTCATCCTGGACTCGGCACTTCTCTGTCTGTCACCCTTCTGCAAAACTCACTTAGCTGTTCTTGGAAGTTTTTAGTATGGACGGCCCTCCCTGTCTTGCGCTCGGTTTCCCTGCAAGACCCTTGGCAGGAACCCCGGCACCTGCTCCTGCTCCTTGGTGGGTTCTCCCTCCCTCTGGAGCAGCCCCGGGGGGCTCGTTGCCTGGGCCCCGCCCTCTGGCCCAGGACGCTGCCCGGGAACTGCAGCCTGCGTCCAGAGCCCCGCCCACTTCCAGGCTGACGCAAGTGGCCGGGGGCTGTGGGCAGGGGTGCTCAGGGACCAGGCCCCTGCACATTGCCCCCTTCCCCAGCTCACGCAGACGTCCTGACTTTATTTTCCAGGACGCAGAACACGATCATGAGCCGCCCTACGAGATTTCTGAGCAGGAAGAGTTCACTGCTCGGCTGCATTTCATTAAGTTTGAGAACACCTACATCGAAGCCTGCCTGGACTTCATCAAGGACCACCTGGTCAACACAGAGACCAAGGTCATCCAGGCCACAGGAGGCGGGGCGTACAAGTTTAAGGACCTCATCGAAGAGAAGCTGCGGCTGAAGTGAGTGGGGCCTCACGGGCAAGGAAAGGACACGCGGCCACCCCGCTTCTCCCATGGGCCTCCCACGTGGCTGTGGAGGGAACGGAGCCGTGGGGACCAGTGCTTAGTGCCGTGGCTGCCTTGGCAGTTGCCGCTTTTGAAAGCCTGAGCTCGGCTGTGCCGGCGCCACGTCCACGGGTGGCTGTGCCGGCGCCACGTCCACGGGTGGCTGTGCCAGGCGGGGCGTGCCCTGCGACCTCGGCCAGACAGGCTGACCATGGCAGTCCCTTCCCGTGGCTGGGACGCTTTAAGGGTCAGGCTCCTTCCTTTTCAGGGTTGACAAGCAGGACGTGATGACATGCTTGATTAAGGGGTGCAATTTTGTGCTGAAGAACATCCCGCAAGAGGCCTTCATTTATCAGAAAGATTCCGACCCCGAGTTCCGATTTCAGACAAACCACCCCAACATCTTCCCCTACCTTCTTGTTAATATCGGTTCCGGAGTGTCCATTGTCAAGGTGAGACTAGGCTTCGTGAAGTGAATGAATGAATGAATGAATGAATAAATGAATGAATGAATGAATGGATGGATGGTTCGGGAGCTGTATGTCAGCGTTTGCCCCGAGTGGGGGCCGGTGCCACGCACGGGGCAGCATCGAACCTGGCAGGGGCCGGCATTCACGGAGACGATGCCACGGTTTCATGGCTGCCGTCAGCACAGTGGTCCTGTCTGCCGGCTTCGGCGGCCCTCAGTGGTGCTGGGGGAGGGACCTGCGTGACTGTGACTGGGGGCTGCCTGCTGACTGCCCGCCCTGCCCCGCCCTGCCCCGCCCAGGTGGAGACCGAGGACAGGTTCGAGTGGGTGGGCGGCAGCTCCATCGGAGGCGGCACCTTCTGGGGGCTTGGGGCTCTGCTCACCGGGACGAAGGTACGCGGGCTGCGCGGACGTGCTCCTGGGCGCGGGGTTTCTGCTCCCCGCCCTCCGCAGGGGCTGAGGCTGTGCGGCCTGCAATTTGCTCCTTCCCCGGCCTCCCCCGACTCTGTGCTGGGGTGGGGGGCTGGCCGAGTGCCCAGAGCGGCCCACAGTCCTGCTCAGCTCTCCTGCCGTGGCCGCACGCGGGGAGAGAGGGCTGCTCGACCCGGCCTGGCACTGGGGTCGTGGGGCCCGCCAGCTCCCGGCTTGCTGCTTCCCGCCCCTCTGTCCCCGCAGAAGTTTGACGAGCTGCTGCATCTGGCCTCCAAGGGCCAGCACACGAACGTGGACATGCTGGTGCAGGACGTCTACGGGGGCGCACACCAGACGCTGGGGCTGAGCGGCAACCTCATCGCCAGCAGCTTCGGGAAGTCAGCCACCACCGACAAAGGTACCTGCCCCGGCCCCTGGCCCCTTGGGGGCCCAGGCATCGCCCAGGGACCTCGGCAGCGGCACGGCCACGTTCCCTGGACACCGGTCTTCCCACCGGCCATCACTTGGACAGGTGGGGTCTCGGGTATCAGCCCCGTGACCTTTCCCTGCCCCGGTTACTGCGGCTTACGCGTGGCACAAGCATGTTTTGTGCTTAGAGAATGACGGCAAATAGATTCCGTCAGTCTCTGTTTTGGGGAGAAAAACCGTAGTTGGTTCCTATGAGTTAGGGAAAGTGGTTAGGGTCCCCTCCACCTTGAAAACAAAGCCTGGTCCATCCAGGAGTGATTGGCACGTCACACACCCTCCTGTGCTCCGGCTGAGCTCTCCGCAGTGCTTCCCTCCCCCTCCCCCTCACTGTCTCCCCTCCCCCGTCCCTCCACCTCTCTGTAGCGCTCACACTGCAGCCCCGTGTCCCTCCACCTCTCACGCGCCACACGCGGTTTGCCCAGCCGGCCGACACGCCTGTCGCTCTCTGCCGCAGAGTTCTCCAAGGAGGACATGGCCAAGAGCCTGCTGCACATGATCAGCAACGACATCGGCCAGCTCGCCTGTCTGCACGCCAAGCTGCACGGCCTGGGCCGGGTGTACTTCGGGGGCTTCTTCATCCGGGGCCACCCCGTGACCATGCGCACCATCACCTACAGCATCAACTTCTTCTCCAAGGTAACGCGCTGCCCTCCTGGCCACCGCGTGCTGCTTTCGCCCCTGTCACCTCACGCAGGCCCTCGGTGTCTTCAAAAGTGACGCCACCCCAGGGCCGTCCCCCTCCCCTGGTGGGCTCCGGGCTCCCTGTGCCTCGTGGCCCTGTGGCCGCCACTGAGTCTAGCATGTTCCCAGTGGTGGTGTCACTGTCGACCGGGGTCAGAGGGGCTTGGGGACGCGGTGCAGTGCCCGCCAGGTGGGCCTGCCCTCCTGTGCTGGGCTGCCCCAGCAGCCTGCCCGCCAGCATCCCGACCGGGTGGTGGGTAGTCGCGTGGAAGCGGCTGTTCCCTGGTGGAAGCGCTCACTCTCAGGTCACAGCGGCGGCAGGGGCGGTTGCACTGACCGGCATGTCGGGGACGGTGTTTGGGAAGGGTCGGGCCACGCAGAGGGAGCCCCTGTGTCGAGCTGGTCCAGAGCGATGCCCACTGCCACGTGGGGCCTCTGACCAGCCACTCGTGGGCTTTGGCCGTGCAGGGGGAAGTCCAGGCGCTGTTTCTGAGGCATGAAGGCTACCTGGGCGCCATTGGCGCATTCCTGAAGGGGGCCGAGCAAGACAGTGAGTAGAGCTGAGCTCCCGTGGCAGCCCCGGCCACGCGGGGCTGTGGGCCGTGGCCGTGGCCCTGCTCCTGGTCAGGGCGGCACAGGGTCCAGGGATGCAGTGTGTGGGGGGGCGTGGGGCCTCGGGGTTAACGGAACAAGTCTGTCCCCTTTCCTGTCCCCTTCCCCTCTTGATCGAGGCAAGGCTGACACGGCCCGCGCCTCTCGTTCCAGACCCCAACCAGTACAGCTGGGGGGAGAACTACGCGGGCAGCTCCGGGCTGATGAGCACGGCGCCCGAGCTGGGCCCCACGCAGCGGGCGAGGAGCGGCACCGTGAGTAGTGGCTCTGGCCATCGGGGGTCCCAAGGGGGCGGCCTGCGCTGGGCGCCGTCCACCGTCCGTGAGACCGCCCAGTGCGCAGACCCCTCGCGGCGCAGACGGGCTTTCACCCAGTTGCGGTGGGGCTTGAGCGGAGAGCAGAAGAAAGACGTTTGCAGCATCTCCTTTCCCTGCGTGGTGGTCTCGTG